CTGCAATACTGCACTGTATATAATGCAATACTGCACTGTATATACTGAAATATTGTACTTTCTATACTGCAATACTGTAGTGTATATACTGCAATGCTGCACTGCATATACTGCAATACTGTAAATACTGCAATACTGTACTGTATATACTGCAATATTGTACTGTATATACTGCAATACTGCACTGTATATACTGCAGTACTGTACTGTAAATTCTGCAATACTGCACTGTATATACTGCAATATTGTACTTTATATACCGCAATACTGTAGTGTATATACTGCAACACTGCACTGTTTATTCTGCAATACTGTACTCTATATACTGTGTATGTACTGCAATACTGCACTTTATATACTGCAATACTGCATTGTATATACTGTGCATATTCTGCAATACTGTACCTCTGCACAGAGGAGCCCATGGAGCCGCCCAACGACTGTGTACCTGCAAAAGATGGGAAAGGAGGGGAGTACAGGTTAGACTGCAACCTTAGCTCACTGATTGCAAAAAACATGGTTTGCATTTTGGGATGGTTCAAGAGGAAAGGGAAATGTTTTCCAGAAATGGGTGTTTAGAACAGAATTCATGTGCTCAGGATAAAGCTTATTCCCTGTATCTTTAGCTGCTCTCAAATTAGATGCAGTGGTGAAAGCCTGTTTAGTATTTTTATCACTCTTCAGCTATTAAGTAAAGACCATGCAACTGTTAAACTTGCTGGTAAATCAGGGTGGCTGAAACAGAACTGCCAGCTCAATGACAATAGGTATAAATGAGAATCATTCTGACACAATGCTTTTATTTATACTCCACTAGAAAGGATCCATTGTACAGCACATCCGGGTCTCATGTATGAAACTTCTCCTTGATAAAACTGCAGTTCATTTTCCCATCAAAATCCTGAGGCACTTCATAAAGAGTAAGGGAAACAAGGGAAGCCTTATTCTGTTTTCCATGAAACGTTACCAGCCTGGGGCTTCGTCACGAAACACTGCTTGAGGAAAGGCTCAATTTCAACACGAAGCTGAAGCCCTGCCAGAGGCACCAACTCTCTCTGCCCAAGAAACCTGCTTGCACAATGCATTTAGAGCAGATCTGGGAGCAGACAACATTTACCAGAACCATTGAAGAACACGGAAAAATCAGGATGAAATGATCCAGGACACAGGGCTCTCTCTGAAATAACTGGCCTTGCCAGGACTCAAAAAAACCTTCATACAAGCACTGTCTGCAGCCCTATCTGAAGCTCAAGAAGCAGCATGACTGTCACCTTACAAGGCTCCTGCATATATACTGCAAGAAAAACATTATTTTGGCTCAAATTCCCTTAATGCTAAGCGTGAATGCAAAAGAGCTACTTGCCATTAGAGGCCAAGATGGCCCTTTATCCAAAAGCAATAAGAGCATTAGGGAAAAACTGTGCATGCAATACTAGGCTTTAAATGCAGATTTTCTAACCACTGATTCAAGTGCCAACAGAGTCTGAAACAGAAATATAATTTCTTCATATTGAGAAACTAAAATACAGGCATACCCTGTTACCTAAGCCCTGCTTGGAGAGCTGTGTTAATATTTCCCTTGCAAAATCTTTCACCTCATTAATGATTTATCCCAAATACTCCAAAGTTAGTAAAACTGTAATATGTATGAAATGAAGTCTACTATTCCACTTCCAATAGTGATATTTTATTTTTATAATATAAAACTATAATATAAAATCTAACTGCCTACTAGGATCACATAAGCAATTTACAGACTCCCAAATCCTTGGTTAAAGCTCCAGTAACTCTGGTTCCCATTTCACTTCTAGCTTGCTTTTAAACTGGGTTAGACGTCCTTACTCTTTCCTTTTTTTTTTTAGAAGATTCATCAGTTTGACTGTATTTATTTAAGTATTTCCCAAATCTTTTTGTTTCTTTGCAGTTAATATCAGAAATGTGAACAAACACTGAATGAAGAGCTGCAATAATTTGATATTTGTGACTGCTTTTCACTAACTTGAGAAAAGACACTGCATGAGAACTACAGTTATGTATCATTTATCTTTTACTTCAATAGTTGTTTCAGCTTAAAAATGGGGGATTCTTGGTGCTGGCAGGCAAAATGGATCCAGTGAAGAATTAAGGTCTGTTTATGATTTCATGTTTTAGATTATAATATAACATCCCATGATCAACACTGCTGCAAGCTGTAAACCCTAGAAAAATAAGCATAGAAAAAGACACATCTTCTCACCTTCTGGTATGTTTCTGAAGAAGAACAGAGGAAGGAAAGCTTATTTTCATAACCTTTTTGTTCCCTGTCATGATCAGGAACAAAACTGAAATCTTACTTCAGAACTCACAAAAGAAGTAAGTTTTTGTTTCAAAAGCCAGAACTCCTATCTATGCCCAATGAACCTGGGCTAGCAGCCAAAATTTGCTGTATTTATCCGAACACCTTTTAAGGACCACCCACAAAAATTAATTCATATGGTAGCTGGACTTCAAATAATTAATCAAGATCCATTCTGTAGAAAGCAGTGACCGGACTATGATGTTGAAACCAGCTTGCAATGCCTTAATGCTGTCAATAATTAAACTTTTGTGGCTCAAGAAATCCAAAGGCTTCATAATAATTGTCCAGCCATCTGAAATCCATGTTGCAGTATCCTCAAATATGTAAAGAAAACAATATCATTGTTTGAGACAATATCTGACATAATCTTAAATGATCATTGTTAACAGGGGCACTGTTGAGGGAGAGAAGAAAAATACTGGCTGCTACAAATATCCTCTAAAACTGTCATACCCTAACATGAATATCAAGTATTAGATGCTTAAAAGAAAAAAAAAAAAAAAACCCAAATGCTTAAAAACCAAAACTCACCAAACAAACAAAAAAACTCCACCAAAAAGTTTCCCTAAGGATATTTTTACTGTGGAGCATCACATGAATGCAGAGCTGTGTCTTTGCAGTTCACTTTGTGGGGATCATGAATTGTGGGTTTTGTTAAAAGCAGAAGAAAAGGACAGAGAAACAAGGAAGGAGCTTAAATATGGAAGTGATAATATCACACCTGGGCATAGGACTTTGCTGAAGGAAAGGACAAACCCACAGTGAAGACAGGAAAGGAAAGGAGGAGAATTCAGATATGTACAACGTGGATAGTGCGGAGATTGTTTTAAATTCAGGAAGCAATCAAAATCTATTGGACTGGAAAGCAATTTCCCCCATCCCAGCAAGGACACAAGGAATGTGTCTGGTTTATTTCAACAGTCTAATAAAACATGCTTAAGAAATAGGAAGCATTTTGAATAATCTTTGGTAAGCCTATTTTACAAAACAAGACAAGTCTAAATTACTTTAATTCAATCTTCTGCCTTAGTTGGGCTGCTTTTAGCAATGGAGTTTGCAGGAGGAAAAAAAAACTGCTGAGGAACTCTCACCTGTTTCCCACAGAACTATTCAGGATCTAGATATGAACATCTGAGGATTGAAGGTCTTTGACTTCAATTTGTGTTTTTTGCATAGTAGGGGAACTGTGAAGTTGCTTTGAAGATTTTCAGAATTTAATAAACAGGGCTTCTGTCCTCCTCTTTCACTGAGCAATGCACTCACTGTCACCTATGGAGGGCAAGGATGCACCTCTTCTGCTAACTCCATGCCCTGCAACAAGCTCAAGGCAAATATTTTGGTTTTAGTAAAAAGGTAAAGATCATTTTGCTGCTCAGAGTGACAGGTGATTATATCTGCCACACGGATACAGACTAAAACTAACCAGGTAAGATGCGATGGTGCTGATGTAGAAGATTCTTTGGCTAATAACCCTTTAAATTCTGCCATTAGTTAGTATTCAGATCCAGGACTAAGATAATGCTGTTAGACATCATGCAATGGAAAGGGAGTTCAATGTTTGCAAGGTGAAATTCCAGTGTCTGAAGCAAAAACCCAGATTTCCCTGTGTTTCCACCCATTATGGCTGCATTGCACAGAAAAGGATTACTTACTATCCAACTCCTCCTCCTCATCACTGGAAGAAGAGCCAATAGAAAAGAGAGTTTTAGACTTAGGAATGAGTGGAGAGATGCTGAAGGAGAAGGAGATTCGTCTCGATGGTCGAGTCCGGCCCTGGGCTGAGAAGTGGGTTAACAGCAGACATTAGAGCATGCTTGAAAATGCATTTAATAATAAAAAGGAGAGGAAAGCAGCCAAAGCAAACTAAAAGCAAAGCAAAGGAAAAGTCTGCAAAGCAGCTGGCTCCAGAAAGGCACAAGAAACAACTGAGAATGTGAAAATTCTAGAGGGTGCAAGTTTCAGAGGGCACAGGTCTCACTGCACGCACAGCTCAAGGCTCCAGTCTCTCCCTATTTTTGCTGACTTTTTTTTATAGGATCTCTTAGTGAAGAACTATACGTAGTTATCTTTCCAAACAGAAAACCAACAACAAAATGAACCTCTGGACAAAGGGCATCAGCTTCCGTGAAAGAACTGCCATGGAGTCAAACTAGAACAACTCAAGGTATCTGTTTGAAGGTGCTTTGTGCAGTTAAATGATACAACAAAGCTACCAAATATTAGCAAGGACAATTTATCTGAAGTGTTGCCTTTATCTACCTGGGGAGGTTCTTGCCACTTCTATGTCTAAAAAATAAAAATCAACAATGTTGATAATGTTATGCCCTTCAAAATTTCCAGCATTAAAAAGAAGACACACTTCCTTTCTCTTCTTCCACAATAAAACAGAAAAAACAAGCATCTCTTCTACCTTATTTTAAAATTTAGGAGTCTTTGTTTTAAAGAAACTGCCTAAACATGAGAAAAGCCCACTACATCCTCTTCTGCCCTTGCCTGGAAGATGCCTACCAAACATTGTGCCAAACTTAGCAATAAGTCTGTGATATCAAATATCCCACCATTTATTTTTAAGAGCAGCCCTTGCATAGCAGCAGCTTCTCAACAATTCTTTTTAGGTATTGGTCTCTGAAAAGACAATTAGGAGCCAGCTAGCCATTCTTCATTAAAACTGGATTCCCAAAGGCCCTATTTCTCAAACCTTCTCTTCATACAAGCACAGCTGAAAACCTCTGAGCTGCCAGCTGGACACCCACTGCTCACATGGTACATCTGTGTGTCCTCAGGAAAGGTGTCTGGGACAGGGCTGAGGAACCCCTGTCCCTGGGACAGGTGTGACAAGGGTCCTACTTAAGCACCTACATTAAACACAAGGGTCCTACTTAAGCACCTACATTAAACATCTTCAGCACAGGTATTCAGGTACTTTTAATTATCTAGTCCATGGACACATCAATTCACTTCCAGAACAGGGAAAACAGGCTAAAAACTTTATCAGTACTAACCTTCCAAGAGAAAGACAAAGCAATTATTTCTCTCTTTGAATAAAACATGGCCTTTCAGCCAGTACAAGGAGGGTTTTTTGCATGGCTGGTATCATACATCAAAACTGAATTCAGAATATAAAAACACTGTCCAAGGAATAGCCAGTGCTACAAAAGCAATGCAGAACAAATGCCCCATAACACTTCCTCCAGCCATTAGTCACAAATGCCAATTGTCTACAGGCAATTTGACTAAAATGGGCACAGTAAAGACATTTAAATGGAAAAATTTTTAGGAAGACCCATGCATTAGTTTTGTTTAGACTGCCTTTTGAAGAAGTTGTTCTAGTGTTCCAGACCTGAAGAACACAATTAGGCAATATGACTTTTTCTTCTGTAGTCTACTGTCTATTTAGACTAAAAGTCAAGATGAACAATAATACTTTACTGTAAATTGAACCACCTTTGCCAGCACAGTTCAACTTCCATTTCAGTGGTTTTATTTATAGCAATTCCTGGCTTTATAACAGTGCTCCACACTGGAAATTTGCTATTCCAACCCTAAAAGCATTCTTCCGAGCACTCCAGCCAACAGCTCTTGTGACCTCCCTCTATAAAATGCTGAAGGATTAACATTGTGAATGGCCACATCAGCTCTTGGAACATCTGACACATCAGATGCAGTGTGGGCTAGGAACTTGGTCTTGGAAATTGCTCCTGCCTCAGCACATATGACAATAAACAGTAAAATAATAGAAAACCCTCCATATGTTTATTAATCTGGATTTAGTTTTTGAAGTTCTCGAGCACAGCATGTTGCTTTTTTCCCATTCAGAAACACACATTTGGAGGGATCACAGGGTCTTTTTTTTTTTTTTTTAAACACCTACCACAAAATTATGCAAGTGGAATAAAGAACTGAATTTGTCCTAGAATTCACTTCCATACAATTCTTGCAAAACTCTCGAGTGTCCTGCTGGAAAAACATGAACATCAAACCCAGGTGACACAAGGGAGCTTATACACTAAGACCTCCTTGTAAGAGGCACCAAACTGTCCTATGGTCACAATTAAAACATCACTGTTCCTCTTTCAAAGCTATAAAATAAAAGCAGAATAATAGAATGGTTTGGGTTGGAAGGGACCTTAAAACTCATCCAGTTCCAGCCCTCTGCCATGGGCAGGAACACCTTCCACTAGAGCAGGTATCAAGCCTTATCCAACCTGGACTTGAACACTTCAGGGATGGTGCAGCCACAACTTCTCTGGATGATTTACTGAAGTTTCTGTAGTCAGGAAGGTGTCAGGATTGGGAAAAAAATCCGTGAGCTAAATTTTCCACGTTATTCCTTTTGGATGCTTGCATCAACCCCTCAAATGTTCTGATTTTTTAAAACCACCTTCCTATAAAAATGTCACAAATTAATGACTGAGCAAATAAAGCTCAGAGGAATGTTAGTCATGTTTTCATTGAGTGTCCCAAACCCACAGACATCTGCCTCAAAGCACAAGACTAACCCTGCTGCTTTGCCCACAGCCCCTCTGGAGAGGTTACCACATGTTCTCTTTTCCTTCTCTCTCCAGGGACCAGGGTGGCCACGCTGGCTCTAGGAGGAGATGGGATAATCAAGCCTCCATGGCATTTTAACGCCAGGTCACAGGACATTTTAACAGCCTTGGCCATCCAGGCTTCCTCAGCTCATTTCTGGGGAGCCAGCCAAATTTTTTGGTGTTTGGTCAGAGGCTGGTTGCCTCTAAAGAGAAACTGGTTGCCTCAAAAAACAACAATGAGGACCTTCAGTCCAAGGAGGGAAGAGGCAGTGCCACCACAGAGGGCAGGATCTGGTCTCTCCACAGGACAGAGCTGCCCTGGTTTGGTTACTGCTGCTGGGGGACACATCTGTCAGGCCACATCCTTATTAATCATGGAATTATCATGCTGAAGAATTTAAAACCATTTCCTACAAAGCACAATCCCTGTGAGCTTCCTCCAGCAAGCCTCTTCCATGAATAAAACACTTCTTAAAGCACCTTGTTGTCCTTTGCAAGAGAGAATCACATTACTAAAGAAGAAAGATCAGACACCATCACTAATTGACATGAGCTAAAATGTCAATAGGGTTTCTGGCTGGCAATTAATAAAATGAAAACATGTGTAATACATCCAAAGCACATCCAGCTGCAGCCTTCTGAATGACTTTTTCAGCTGAAAGAATCAATTCAGCTAAGTTGCAAAATTAAGTGCTTGTTATCGCTTCAATTAAGCTAAACTGGAAAATTTTATAGAATCATCTTTCACTATTTTCTCCAGGAATGAGATTCAATAAATTACACCCAACTGCTCCAAAATATTTAACTCAGAATGAATAGCAACAAACTCCTCCAAAGAGATCAAGACATGGATTCTCAAATTCCCATGTATCAGCTTTAAAAAAAATCTAGATGCAGGGAAGAAAGATCTCAAGTAGAATTTACCTGATATCAAAGGAAGAAACTCTGAAAGGTGAAAGGATGCAAAATGAGATCCTTTTTTTTTTTTTAGTTAACAAACTCAATAAATCATAGTTTTCATACCAGTAGTCTAATTTAGAAAGAAAAAAACAACCCACACAAAGGAAACCTAACAGAAAGAAAATAGCAAGGATACACTGGGAAGAACAAAACTAAACTGAATGAATTCTGCCTATCCACCCACAATTCCATGCAGCAGTGAAACATTTACTTCATGTAATAAAGGAAGCAGGAGCGGGCAGGAGCACATTTTGCCTTGGGAAGAAAGCAAGATATACTCAATTATACAGATGACAAAGTGGATAAGGGAAAACTGGATTACTCACTGTCGAGCACTGGTTTGCTAATTGACATTAGAGACATGGATTTGGTCAGTGGAGATGAAGCAGCAGAAGTGCAGAAGTTAAATCCTTGTGGCTGTGATGTCTGATGCACCTGCAGAACAGGACAGAACCACGCTGAGTATGTCAGGAATGACAGAACCATCCCAGCTTCAGAGCCCAGTTCAGGGCTCATGTTTACTGCAACTCTCACTTTGAAACAGTACTCAGGTGAAATGCAACATTTTGTTTTGCCTCTTAAGTGTCAGACAACTAATTATGCAACCCAGAGACTATGTGTGCTTGATTTTCTTGCAAGGCATTAAAAATCAAATATTGTTAAAATTCTCTCATGGCCATGGAAATTGTTGTTGTGACTCCAATTCTTCAGCAAAACTAGGCTGTGGCTCAATATGACAAAAAAAAAATCTGATGCTTAGCAGTTTGTTCCCCCAAAATGCCATTCCTCTAAGCAAGAGAAGACACAAGTGTTGTGTTGCTGCAATGAAGCAGAAAATTTAAAATAGCTGGAGGTTTCTCCATGTTAAAGATGAAAGATTTTGAACATTATGTATATGTACATGTAAAGCGGAAGCCTTTGCAAGACTGTCACTTGGGAAAATGACTTCCAAAATGTTGATGCAGCATTTCCCAACAGTAGCTGGACAGTTTTACCTGGTGGTTGTAGTCTCTGATTTCTCCTTGCTCGAGCTCCTCAGTGAGCAGGACCAGGGACTGATTGCTGGCAAGGGGACTCCTCCTGAGGTCTTTGGAGCTCAGGGAAGAAGCCTCCAGGTTTGCAGAGGGCTTCTTGCTCTCACCAGAGTCCCCAGTAAGGCCTTCTAGGCTGTAACTAAAGAGAAAGCACAGAGGTCAGGTGCTGCCAAACTCTCAGGGACCAGTGTCTGTGAGCGCAGAGCACCTGCAAACATAAAACAAAGAGCAGGCACTGAAGTGTGCAGGCAAAGGCAGGTGTTACTCCTCAGCATGTTCTTTTTTCTTCAGAGCAAATAGCAACACCTTTGTGCTTCTAATGAGACATAAAGGTTTGTTCATTGCTTGAACAACCACTGAAACTCCTGGTCAATTGCCTTTCCTACTGTTTTTTTTAATTCTTTTTGAGTGGTGCACAGGAAAATCCAGAAACACCGCTTCTAAAGATTTTGGCATTTCCACATAGTCTCTTTGATAGGTTTTTATTAGGCTCTCCCTTGGAATAAAGCCACCCAAATCAAACTACCAGGTGCTGCCTGTCCTGGACCAATACCCCTCCCAACAGCCACACCAGCTGCTGTAACACTCATCTCTGCAGCCACATCCTCTGAATCTATTTTAAATCCTGACACTGCACAGTTTTGGCACTGATAATGTCATTTATTCTGCCAAAGGTGGCTTCTCTTTTACCCATGCTGTGGTTTTGTTTTTAAGTTCAATAAATGTTGTTTCCATCACCCAATCAATTTTATTTTATCATCTATTGAGGGAGCTAGGTCTTGCTCAGCAGAGCTGGCAATAACTCAAAGCTAAATGAATTACTAAACTTTTGCTTGAAGAACTGTTGGAAATAAAACATCTGGCCAAACTCTGTAGAGACAGATGCTGATAGACAAGTGACACTCTCTTCTCACCTATACAAAACACATCCTGTCTCACATGGGACTATTTAATCTGATAAATCTTGCTCTAATATTCTGCTTCTGACTCTTTTGCTCCTCGTGCCCAAACAAATCCACTGAAATGCCAGTGTGGGTTCACTGGGTGAAGCTTTGCAGATTCCCCTCCCAGGACAGCAGCACAGATCCATGGCCAATGTTTGATTTGATACTCACTAAGTGCCAGCCCTACCCTGGATTTATAACCCAACCCGAGGCTAATCATGACGTCTGTGGTGAACAAGCTGACATGGAACACATGAAAAAGAAAACATACTACAGGCTGTACAGATGATTTAAACAACCAAAGGAGCTTTAAATTCAGGTAGACTTGCATAGCAGTGATTAATGTTCTGCAGTCCCTTAGAAGCATTACAAGGCTCATAAATATGCACCTTGAAAGCAAAAACTGCAATAAATCATGAATAAGAAGATTTAGTAATTTAAAAAACCTTTTTCCATGGTAATTAATAAGAAAAAAAAGAGTGGTTGAAGCATTTATAATTTAATCTGCTTTAGCAAGATTGTGACTCATCAATGTGTATCAACAGCAGGCATTTAAAAGTTTATTCTAAAACACCTGTAGGTAGAAATCAGTCGAATTTCTACTAATTATTTAGGATGGAAAAATATCTCTTTTTTACATTCCAAGGTGGCAATAATGATGCTACACAGTAGAGAAAAAAAAAATCATGTACTTGTGACAAAACTAGCTAAAACCTGCAAATGTTAGCCCATAAAATAGTTATCAGTGATACTGGTCTGTAATTTGCTGATTGGCATATATATATCAAACACAACTAACTGTCCATGAAGGGCAGGTTTCCTTCTCAATATCTACTCTTCAGAAAAAAAGAGTTTTAATAGCTCTACCCACAACCAGCAAAAACTGCTAGAGAAAAGCTATAAAGCCATAAAATCTGGGGGACTGGCTTCCAAACAATATTGGGTAAAGAAGTCACCTGCAAACACCAATATCAGTGCTGGGACTTTCTACAGAAGATGCAAACTTTAAGAGTCTGGGAAATTTTCATTTGTGGTGATCAGATTGGTTTTTTCAGGGAAGGTTTTACACAATTAGTCTCCTTGAAGAAAAGCCTAGATCTTTCAATTTACAGAGAGCAAGTCTGTGTGAACTTAAACCCTTTATGAGACTGATCTGGTAACAGAGAAGTACTGAATCATATTTAATCTTGCTTTGATTCTTTGCTGCTGTCACAATTATCATTCTGATCACTGCTGAGGAAAGAAACCACGGCTCGAAGCCATCACAGAACAGAGCAGCCCAACCCAACAGTGCAGCCTCTTCACTGCCAGAGGCCAGGGGAAAAGCAGCCACCACCTCCACCTGCAGCCCAGCCCTGAGGCTCCACTCCCACGAGTAATTGCTGAAAAAGCAGACCAAGCAAACGAACACGTGCGCGCTTCAGCCAGAGCAGCAGTGCAGGATGCACGAGAAGCTGACGACAGGGGTGTTTGCAGAGCTCCTGTGCTGCTGCATGTTTATTCATACCATACCTTCTACAAGTAAAGTCAGGACCCATGGCAAGGTACTGTACGCCTGAGGGACACCAGCTCAAACTAGGAACAGCAAAAGAGGCAAAGAAAGGAAAAGGGCAGTGATTATCGGATTGTTATGGAACATGGGGACTGCTAAAAGACTCACTCTCACATACCTTAAAAAAAAACCCCAGCAAACTCAGAAATAATGCAGTAGCACATGTCTGGTTGAACAAACACACCACAGTGCCCCAAATGCCCGAGGTTACCACTGAACAGGGAGCAGGACAGCTCACACTTCCCCCAAACTGACCCCATCAGTGAGTATACAATGTACCGGGGAAAGTACTCCTTGTGGAGAGGGAGGATTTTGGGAAAAACAAGGCTAAAACATACCAAAGCCAATTTGCAAGTAATCACACACAACCACTGTGTTAGTAATTATTAGTATTTTCCTGGGAGCTCGCATTCTCAAATCAGAAAAAGAATCCCTTACAGATATTTCACGGTGTAAGTCCCCTCCACAGAAATATTAATAACCTCATGCTAGGCTTGGAAAAATAAGGAGAAAGACACATTCTTAAATGCTGCACAGTCTTTCACAGTCAGTGAAAGAGGCTGGAAGAAAAAAACAGGCTAATCTTACTATTAACTTGGGATTAAATCAAGACTGCTACTAACTAAAAAACCTTTCAGCTCCCATTCCCCAAAAGAGTCCCAAAGTTGCATCATGAAAGACATAAGAAATGCAAATGAAGAATGTAAATATTTTGGTTGTTATTCTAGACTGCTTTTGTTATTTTTTGTCTGTTAGCTCATGGCCCCATTGTAGGTTTTGCAGAAACAGAGAAATCCATCTTCTTGTCAGCTATGACATTTATATGATCTCTAAATCCTGAAAATGCTGCTCAGGAAGCATTCATTGTCTGAAGGGAATTTTGCATAAGCACAAGCCCTGCTCCCAGGTCCTGGTCTGAGATCCATGCAAGGAGGGGACATGGCCAGAGCACACTTTGCTCCACGACAGGAGCCTGTGAAAAGGACAGAACAGATTTAAGCCTTCCTGGACAAGGAACTGCGAGTGCCAGAAGCCTCTGAGGGCACAGACGAAGATTTGAACCCACTGAATGCATCATGTCATGCCATCTCATGTTGTTTCCACACACGCTGCAACACTGGAAACATTCTGGAAGGGTTTGACAATTGGAAACATTCTGGATGGGTGTTCAGTGGCAGAATTCAGATAATTGCTGACTGTTTTATAAAGGATATTAACAGGGCAAGGACACACCCAAAAGGTGTGCTTCACCTGGAGCTCTCAGCACAGTACTATAAACATTCTTCATGAAAACATTCCTTCCCATAACATGCCAGTATTTCCAAGTACTTCATCATCCTCACCCACTTCAACCACAATGGCAGATGTTTAAGTATTGGTGGGGCGTGGAATACTTGTGTAAAATCATAGAGGAACCAAGTCCAGGCTACAGGAAACCCACCTCCATCACACACAGTCTGCACTCTCAGGCCTGGGTTCAGCCTCCCAGAGGGTCACTCAGACCTGCTCAGGGGCAGCAGAGAAAGCATCCCAAGGAAGGTGTCACACATGATTCCCCAGGCCATCTGCTTGTGGCCACAAGAGCACTTGGGGGACCCTTTGAGATATCCTGATGTCCCCTTGCTTTTCAAAGACACTCAAATCTGTGTGGTCCCTTTTCAACTGAAGGAAAGAAGATTCTCTTCATTAATCATGCAATGTTTGCACTACACTTTAAAAGATGCCTCTGTTCCTGACCACTGGCATATTATGGAGATGAACTCAAACACTAAAACTGCAGGGGAGGGAAGAAGAGGAGCCCCTACATATGTAGGAGGAAGCTTGGAAGTGTTGAGATCTCAGAGAAGGAAGGAAGGGGATCTGTTGGCAAAAGCTGTGGAAAGCACTCTTGCAGAACAACCACAGTACTGTGGGGGAGCCACCCACAGCCTGTTGGCAACACCCTAAAATCCTAAAAAGATCAATGCACAGCATACAAAACTCCTTTACAGAAGACAGCTTGGGGAGGAAAAGGAGGAGTTTTTATCTATATCAGCCTTGTGGGAGAGCATGAACAGCTGGAATCAGTTTCAGGCTCCTGCTCCACAAGTGGGGTTAGAGAGGATGATTCCAACATGGTTTAGAGACCAGAAAAAGTGAGAAAGTGTTTATGAAAGGATTATCACACATTTCAGATATGACTAGGTATTCTAGATGTTTTCTTTATTCTACATATAAGCTCAGTGTTTCAGATATTTTGACTCTAAATAATAACACAGCTCCTACAAAGGAGCCTTAATAGAACACTGATAAAAATAGGACCATTTGCATGAGCTGAGAAGTCAAGCACTGCACTGCTTCCTGCAGTGGTGCAAATGAAGAGGCTTCTTAGAAGTAAAAAAGCATGTTCTTCCTTGTGCCTTTTTTAAAAAAAATTCTTTTCTAAGAATGTTCTTTTGAACTGTACAGTGCTGCTGGGTTTCATTGATGCTGATGCATGGTGAGGCACGGTGATTTTTTTGGCCATAACACCATTCTTTTCACATGTGGGAATGTGGTAGCTTGTGTACACACACAGCACCCCATCCATATTTCAGCTGAAGTGAAATCCCAAGATAACCTGGCACAGGAGGGGAAGTAACAGGCTATGGCAGGTGAGACAAGCTTGAACCACTGAAGGACAGAAGTTCTCTTTTTTCTTTAGCCTAAAATGACTATGTGTGGACAGTCCACACCTGCTGCGTCAAAAATTAAGTATCCTTTTTTATATACTAATAGTCAATGCAAAGCTAACATGAGTGGAATTGCCTATCTGTGGGATGGATGAAAAACTGAAAGTTTTTTAGAGAGGGAAAACACATGGAAGCAAAAGAAAAACACACCTTATTTTCTATTTTTTAGTAAGATGGTTATAAAAACCATCAAAAGAGCAAAATTAAAGCCATTTAATTGAACCAGCTGCAGATCTGCAGTGTTCCCCAAGTCTGAGATTGTGTCTGACCCATCCCTTCTCCCAGCTGCCCCTCCTGCAAGTCTTGCCAGGAGTCTCTGATGTGCTTTAAATCCAAATCACACACGTGCTCCCAGGTAAACCACTGTCTTAATCAACTCCAAATCTTACACATGGCAAAGGCCAACAAAATCATATCTGAGATTTCTCTTCATCATTAACATAATGTCCTGGAGAAAACAGCTCAAGCATGGGCTCTGTGGGGCCCATGGGTCAGACTGGAGAGAGAAAACAGCCACGTGGGATGCACAGCTCCAATGCCAACACTTCCAGAGGTACCACAGGTTTACTAACATGAGAAGATGGAGTTAGTAGACATTCAAACACAAAACAGTTAGTCACATTAGTTGGCTTTGTACCTTCTCCTATGAATGGGAGGCTTCTTTATACCATCCCCCAGAATTCGCATTGAACTGAAAATGAATCATGGAGAATGGTCAGCAGCTTGAATGAAAAAAAAAAACAAATGGCAGCTAAAGGAATAATATCCTCAACACACAGACAGAGGGAATGGGCATACAGGGAAAACACAAAATGGAATATGAAAGGAAGTAATGAGTCTCTCTTCTACAAATAAATTGGGACTTTGGTTGGTTTTATTTTGTACAGAAAGAAGGCTGCACAGGTATTGACCATGTTGCAACTTTGCTGCTGCCAAAGTCAGGTCAGTTTAAAGTTTAGATAAGGCCAAACACTTTGACAGAAGCTGTTAGCAACAGTGATTAACAGCAGCTCCAGTTCTGCAGTGCTTAATCCATCAGTGAAACATGAGGGTGTTTCTCTGCCCAGCCTGGACATTTAACATACACTGCAGCTTTGTTGAAAGACAGGCATTTCAAATCTGCTATGAATGTCAGGAATTAACTGAAGGATGAACATCCTTTTGTGCAGCCTTGTTGGTTTTCTTTGTATTTTTAATAGCAAAATGCAGACATGAGGATTATCTGTGAAGTGCATTTGAGGAGAGATGGGAAGCGAAGGGGAACTGAGCATCTTTCCACATTTTTGGGGTTTTTTCATTATCTTTTCTGTGAACAAACTTTTACACTCATCCCTTTTACAAACAGAAAACACATTACAGTGGGAAAATATCACATTTTACAAAAAGTTGATTTTTTTTTCTGTAGGCTTTTTGGGTCCTCTATCTAAACTTGACTTAGCTATCTTTGTCATCCAAGTCTGGACTATTTTTGCTGTGGACAGGGGCTGCAAATCATTGCTGGGGCAGGAAGCACCTCTGAGAGCTCAGCTGATGGTGCACTCTGTCATCCCATTCTTCCTCCTGGCTGCACAGCCCAGCTCTGATCCCTGGGTTGGTTCTGGTGGCAATTACACTTTATTTGGTTATTTTTCTCCTCATTTAGTGAGGGCAAGCTGCTCGCCTACAGAGCAGAGAAGTGCCATGGGTGCCCAGAGGAGGGGAGGGAGCACAAAGGGTGGTGGGAGCAGCACAGAGCCTGCCCATCAGCAGGACAAACCTCAGCCAAGGCTTGTGCTCAGTGCTACACCACTTCAAAGGTTTGCAAAAGTCAAGTTGCAATAAAGAAGGACTTTTCCCCTTCTACTGGAAAAGCATCTACTGCATGTGAAATAAATGAATAAGCAAACACTCCAAATTTAACTGATTTGAGTGAAAGTCACTTGTTAGCACTTCCCTTCCTCAGTATTTGTTGTTTCTCACTAAGCAACGAGAGAGTCTCAACATCACAACAGCCACATATGAAAAGAACAAAGAAAAGAACAAAACAACACAGCAAATAATCCAAATTCCTTTCTAAGAGAAGCATAAAAACAAACATGAATCTAATCAGCTCCACAGACCCACCCAGCTTTTCTTTTTTAATTACCCTACATGACAGCTATCCTTATGTAGCTGCAGCTGAATGTAAGAACATATGAGAAGAATTACTGTTCTTTTAACTCAGATTTTCTTACACTTGCAGTGAATGTATTTTCCCGTATCAGAAACAGCCTCCAAAGTGGGATGCAGGAGAATTTAACCCCATCTGTTCAGTGTCAGCAGTGATAGCCAGCTATGCAGTTTATTACCTTCAGAAATCCTTATGCATCAGGCCCTACACTTAAAAATAAATCTCCCCAAATGAGTTTATGAGCTTATGGAATCATTCTGTCACAAACATGCAGGTATACTGACTCTTTTGTTGCTTTTCAAAACTGATGGGGATTTCTTAACTTATTTAAATACTACCTGGGGGCCAGGAATGAAGCCCAAAAAAGGTGACAGTATTAAATAACAACAACAACAAAAATCTTTCACTGTATGTTACTTAGAAAATCCTGAATGGTTTTCAACATTGACTTTAAAACCGGAAGGTGATATTAACTAATTATTATCCGTTAGTTATACCCACAGGCGCTGTGTGTAAAGGATGCATACATTCCTGATGGGAGGCTGCTGCCTCTCCCTGGATTATCCAAAGGGGTCAGAATTTTCAGGAAACCGTTGTGAGTGGTGAGTTTTAATTTAATGCCATCCAGCCCCACATGCAATGGCTCTGTTTCTGTTCACAGCAGAATGTTTGCCATGACACAACAGGCAGCCAGAGAGTGGCACTGCCCTGCACACCTGGGCCTGCAGCTGTAGGGAGGATATGGCACCCTGACCCTGCTAAAGCAACTGACTGCTCTGAGAGCATTAAAGCACATTAAAAACACTGGCCAAACCTCCACTGGGCTCAGAATACACAGGGTTTGGCCCCAAGCACCCCACAGCCCAAATGCTGAACAGTACATGGCATGGCAGGGAACCTCACACCAATTACTACTTTTTGGTGTGTATCTTCCTCTATTTCATCTCCTTCCCCACTGAAACGGGAGACTGAGCAACTTTTCTTCCCACAGTCACCTGGCACCAGCATGGACATGCTCACATGGCTTGTACACCTCTGCCCCTTGTACCTTCTGGAAGAACAGAAGGGAAAACTTCTCCTTCAAATCTTCCTGAACAACACCAGGGACAGCAGTTATGAGTTAGGTGGAACTTACTGTCCATGAGGGATTGAGGGGGAACCAATTCTGTGAAACAGAGAGGACCCATCTCACCATTATGAAGAGCTTTTACAGAATTTTTTTAAACCCTGGTGCCTGTGTTATCCCTTAATACAATCAGAGCAACAATGTTCATGTTTATTCTGTGGTCAGTGACATTTAACACTCCAATAATTCCTTTGTACAGAAAGGGGTGGTGACAGTTCTAATGGAAGACCTGTCCCGAGGTAATTCCATTTACTCTGGAAAGCTCAAGCATACTGTAGGTATTAAGTACTTTAATCCTGAAAGTTAATTTAAGAAAAACCAAACAAACATACATTAGGAGATTGTCTTAACCTCTTCAAACCGAAAAAGAAATAATCAAAAGTGACGTGATAAACTCTTCAGTTTTATCACGCCAGCTTTACAGCTCAGATAAATATGCATGAGTGCGTGCAGAGCAAATCAAAGCAGCTCCTCACTCACCTCCTCTGATTGATTTCTGCCTCGTTGGTGGCATTCTTTCCGGGCCCCCAGCTGTGCCGGCGGAAAGGGGACAGCGGCCGCATGGAGCCGCGCAGGACGGACGAGGGCGTGGGCACGTCCGTGATGCTGTCCAGCTCCTCTTCCTTCTCTCCTCCCTCTGAGCACACCATGTTGGTGCAGCTGCCATCCAGGCTGTGCCTGTCCTTGGGCTGGGCGAAGCTCCCCACGGGTGGGAAGGGGAGGGACGTGTCGCTGCCCAGGGATGAGTTCCTCTCCAGGGACACGGTGTCGTCTGCAGAGGAGCTGGAGCTGGTGACATCGCAGGCAGACTGCTCCTCTTCAGGCTGCTGGGGGAAGAAAAATTCAAATAATTTGAAATTAAAATAAAAGTAGAATCATGGACTGGTTTGCATTGGAAGGGACCTCTAAAGAACAGTTAATCCAACACTCCTGCTGTGGGCAGGGACATTGTTCACCAGATCAGGTTGTTCAGAAACCCATCCAGCCTGACCCTGAATACTTCCAATGAAGTAAATCCATTTAACATTTTAAATAAATGCAAATATTTTGTATTTCACACAAGCTGAGAGAATTCTTAGTTGGTGGTAAATTAACCATCATAGAACTGAGACTTTTTGCTCTGGTTTCAAAAGAGCCTGAAATGCTCTGCAGAGTGATCTCTTCCACCCTGGCTGCCATTATCCAGCTCAGATCCTCTGCCTGCCTTCCTCTCCCCAATTCTATATTTCATCCTGCACAGCAAATCCTGTTCCTCTCCCCATTTCTGGCTAAACCTGTTATCAATCAAGGTGCCATAAAACTGCCAAAGGTTTACTGAGAGCAAGTAGTGGGGAAGGGGGTTATCACAACTCCTGATGACAAATTCCAGCCTCTCCTGTGGGACTGGGATGGGCTTGTAGAGCTCAAGGGCAACACACTGTTCCACTGCACCATGCCACACAAAAAGGAGAATTACTCAGCAGCAGAAAACAGACCAAAAAAAAAAAAAAGCTTAATTCCCCATCCCCAATTACTTTCCATTAAGCAGAAAGTTAATACCAGGGTTTGCAGCATTTTTCAAATCCAACTGTCACTGAAAAATATTGTTCTACAGGAACTGCTGCCCTGTATTAGAGATTTTGAGTCATACTGTAATTTTGGGGTTTAGTTTGCTCCAAAGCAGTATGCAGAAGCCAAGCTGGCTCTCTCTGGCCAGAGGCCTCATGCTGACCATACAGCCCCAGAAGATATTTCGTTCCCTGTGGCCACTATAAAAAACACAAGCACCTCTCTGACATCACCTCCAGTCTGAAATGGTGTTTGCCCTGAGGGACTGACATGGGAAGTTTCAATTTATCCTGCTGCAGAGCCCTGTATCATTTAAAATAATAACAGGCAGAGTGCTCTGTCAGGCCATACACCACAGGGCAGTCAGCAAAACCCTGGTGGTTAATTGTGCTCACACAGTGGGCTCAGGGGGCTGGGCAGGAGCTGAGTGCCCCAGGGGCTGCAGGCTGTCAGCAAGCATTTGGCAGAAGAAAACTGTATGCAAAATCTGTTCTTCGAAAGGAAAGATGGGCATCAGACCACATGGAGGGAAGGATGAGCAGGAGTAGTGCTAAAAGTCTAGAGACTTTTGTTTTTCTGTGCTTTATGTGAGGGGCGCACACTATAAGCTATCAGCTTTTTATTTGACTGAACAAAAAGAAACTGAGATATTAAAAATATCTTCTAATCTAATATTTCACTATTCAGAGAGAAGCCCTGTTTAAAGCTTAGCTATTTTTTATTCTTGGTTCAGTTTAACAGGTACACAATAATGTTCTTGAGATGGTTTAACTAAATGCTGTCACACTGCTTCCCCTCTCACATCCATCAAAGGGAAACAGAGGGGAAAAAAAAAACCAAAACAGCATCCACAGCACAACACCAAAATACAAGAACCTTTTAAACACAAAGTATTAAAAAACACACTAAAAATACATTCCTCCAAAAACATTCACTTCACCTTAAGCTATGTCAAATACGAACAGTGAATTTCAGAAAACTGTGTTCTGTAAACTAGTGAACTATGGATTTGATACATTTGAATAGGAAGCTGAGACTTAAAGAAAAGAGGGCTGAAATGGAAGCCCTGAGAAGTTTCTGATGATGTTCAGCAGTATTCAAGACAATCTGATATTTGTGTGAGTCACGATGAGAGCTTACTGAATTGCTTAAACACAGACAAATCAAGCAGTCATTATGTGGATAACACTCCTACAGTGGAGGAAACAGTCTGCCACTTTCTAAGACAGAAAAATACTGTCAGACATTAGATCAGACTGGATGGGGCTTTGGAGCAACCTGGTCTAGTGGAAGGTGTTGGGGGCGTTGGAAAAAGATGAACTTTAAGGTGCCTTCTGTGATTCTGGGATTGGGGCAGCAGAGCAGGAGAGGAGAGGACTGACTTCACCCCAGCAGCTGTGTGAAGCATGGGAGAGTTGGGAAACTTTCAATCTGGATGCAAATCTAAAAACAATAGTGCAGAACACCAAATTAACTAGAGAGGAATTAGAGTAAAAAGAGGAATTTTTATTTCCCAGATGAGAATACTGCTGCAGTTTGAAATACACAACAAAAACCACTTCCCTAACAAGGAAGATTTAGGGCTTTTATCAGAAAATGCAGCTCAAGGAGATGTCTGAAAAGGGGGAAATACATTTGATCCATTTTAACTTTCCATTTTAACTTTTACCTTGAGCATTCAACTGACGACAGAACACAATGCACAATTCCCTTGAACTCGTGGCCCATGCTTATTCTTCTAAAAATATTCTGCCGTCATTTCAATGATATTTTTTTAACAAAGGAAAACAGTTAATGTGAAAGACGACTCTGTCTGAAAAATGCCAAGTGTGGCTGACACATCTAAAACATCTATATTGTAGTCACCACTGCAAAAAAATTGGCTATCTGGCCAGTAAATATGCATTGTTCTTTAATCCTATTTGAGTAAGAAAATACCATGTTTGCAGAACAGAACGTGTTCTTTTCCTACAGAAAAAAAGAAACATTACAGAAATATTAATTTTCTTCAAGTTAGGTGTGCTGGATTGCACCTCAATGAATTTAGGACTTAACTGTGGCCAAAAAGAGCCTTTACAGACATTTTCTAACAGGCATTTTCTTTGCCCTCCATATTTGCTGAGAAGCTTCTAAGAAAAAATAAGATAAGGTGTAAAAGTGAGTATTCTAGAAAAGGCACATGTACTTCTCCATGCATAACAGAAATCACTGGGATGGTGGGGGTATAAGATAACTATTTCAACTAAATTCCTTCACTGTAGGAGGTCTTGATAAGGGGAATTCAAATGTTCTTTCTATAATTTCCATGATCACAACATGCAAAGTGCTGAGACACAAACTTTCTCTGTCCCCTGAGCTTCAAAGACATTAAAGGTGTTAGGGTATTTTAAAAAATAAGATGAAAAAATTGAACCATGTAATCCTGAAGTTTATTTGGAATACCATTCTACTAAAGGAATCAACACCTTTAGTTGGCTTGATATATAATTGAGCAGAGTAATTTTTTAATTTGGATTTGCCTATGGTTTTAGGTTCCCTAAAATTCACCTCAACAGTGGCCTTCTACAAAGTATTTATCATAACTTTTATGATTTGGAGTGGACGTGAAAGCCTCTCCCTTAAAAGTTTTATTCCTTTGGGTTTGTTTCTTTTTTTGCACAGCTGTTGGGGCTTTTTTTTTGATTGCCTTTTTTTTTTTAAGAGATACAACAACTCAGCAAAAATAAATGCAAAACTTTTAAGTATTTGAGTATTTTCTCAGAGCAAACCAAAACAAAGACAGAAATTAAACAATATTCACGACTCTGAGTTGCAACCCCTTCCTTTGACAACGATCTGTGGGTCCCTGACTCCCTTCATCTGAACCATTTCCCAAGAGGCACATTAAAAAGCTTCCCAGTAAGGCTGGACTTTGGTGGCTGGTTGAAAGTTAAAGATGAGCAAAGCACATGGGCTCCACCCCAGGATGCTGCCAGATGATTGTGAGAAATGACCTTATGCAGCATTAATCATTCCAGAAGGAGGATGCTGCAAAGCCTGCCCAGATGGCTGTCTGGGACAGAGAGGGAAAAGCAGGATGATGAGGACATGGGAATGAAGTGCTGACGCAAAAAAAAAAAAAAATAAACATTTTGCTGAAGCCATGGACTTGGAAGCAACTTCTGAGTCTCAGTGATAGCCTGTATATTCTGAAAAAAGGGCAGGTTTTAGTGTTAAAGCTCCCTGAAGCTGACAGCTCATGTTCCACAGCTCAGCACATGTCCTGGAGAGAAAAAGAAATGCAACAAGCACAGGAGAAGGGAAGGAGATGGGAGAGGAGCACACAACGAACACCAGGGGACAGGGTAAGGCACCTGCAGATTTTGTGACCCCACAGACCCCAATTCTTCATGGTTTTGGGACAGAACCAGGGCTTTCAGTCAATGCATTTCAAGCGGAAGCAGCCCAAAGACCTTGCACAGACAGCAACTTGTTCTCCCTACATTTATTTTAATGCATTAAACAGTTAGCAAAGAAGGAGTTATTTCTACAATTAAAAAAAAAACACAAAAAACAACTCTAGTAGACAAAAGTTCAACTCTTGCTCCACAGAAAGGGGAAACAAGAACAGAACTAGTAATAACAATAATCACCATGACACTGAAAGGTTTGAGATCCTCTTTTTGTTCATAAACATACTCTGTCTCTTCCCAATTTGATACAGAAACTACTTCATAGGTTTATAAATAATCAACTACAGCCATGACAAGCATCTTACACTATTTTTTTAGACAAGATATTATAGCTGCCATTTATTTTGGTGGTCATTAAAAATATCTATAATTTGCATTTCTACCACCTGTATTCAGTATTGTAAAACCAAAAAAGATTTAATTAAGGAACAAGCTTGCCATACTAAATTAGTTTTTCTGGTCCTTTAGAAATACCTTCAACTGTAGAAAGAATACTCAGATAAATCCTGAGAAAGGAGACAAGGAATCAAATTGTTCAGGAAAATGAAGACAAAGCAACTGAGGTTGAGATTAGCTTTGAATAACTTCCTAAACTCAACTCAGGGACCTTTTGAAGCCATTTGAATACAAAGTCTGCAACCCACTGCATGATGAGAACAATGCAAAGGCTGCCAAATTAAGGAATTCCCTTTCTACAAAGAAGAGAACTCCTGCCTTTGCCCTCTCTCCACTGGCAATTGAAGACCTGCTTTCCCTACCACCTTCTCCCTTCCCTATGGCATCCCTGCTACACTGGTTATATTTTAGTCTTTCTTTCCCGTATTTGAAGAAGGAAACTTTCCACATGAGAAAGTGGAAAAGCTAGAATTCTGTATAATACAAACTTTGCTGTGTTCCCACTGCACTCTTCTCCCACACTTTCCCATACAAGAATTAAATCAGGCTCAAATGGCAGCTGCCTGTCATAGCCTGTGACACTCTACACAAGGGAACTGAAGACAGCCTGCTCTGCCAAACAGCCTTGTCCCCTGACAGCCCAGGGCCCCAGATCCTTCTGACAGCAGGATGGGAAAGGGCGAGGCTGGTGAGCTCTGTGCCCTACCACGTGCATGGAGGATGACTTTACTGCTCATTTATAGCTCATGAGATCACTCAGCCTGGGCTGTGGTGCTTCCCATCCTGCTGGAAAATATTCACCAGCATCTGATTTGATTTCAGCAAACAGAACTCTGTTTCAATCAATACATTTCTCAGAAAGCCAGTGTGAAAGCTGCTCTGAGAGTTATGGTTTTCAGAGCAGGAGCTCTGCCTGCCCAAACCTGTGAGCTGCAGCTGAACCAAAGAATGGGATTTCATGGAGACCACAGTGATGGTTGCTCTAAAGAAGGGTCACATCACTTCTGATTCTATATCACTTTATTCTTTCTGATTGCTTTTTCATCATCTGCTTATGCCAAGAAGAGTACAAATTACCAGCAAGAGCAAAAACCTAACGACCCCCCTGAACAAATTCAGGCTGCTCTGACGTAGATGCAAAAGAATGATGCCAAAGGGAGGCACATCCTCTGCTCAGCTCTGCCTCTCAGGTCTCTCCCACTCCTCCTCAGCAACACAAAGGGTACAGGGATGACTAAGGTTAGCAATGACTTCTGTTGTTGATTTTAAGCAAACTTGAAAACACTTTCATTCTACTTGCAAGTAAACAGGCATTAGAGGTATGTTGCCTAGGCAACAAAACTATTCCCTGGAATTGGCCTGAAGTATTTAGAATGAGTGTTTCCTTCCTATGACACTGAATTTACAGAAAAACACTGGTTCCTCTGAGAATTACAGCATATAAATATGAAGGTATCAGCACAGAGGTCACGGTTTACTGGAGAAAAGCTTTTTGTTACATGAGTTAAAGATGGATTTCATATCGTCTGTGCAATCCCTAATGACCTTGCAAGAAAATCCACCTTTTCAACTCTTTCTCTGGTGCCTGATTTACTTTTGGACAGACAAAATTACTTCCATTTTTTTAACCACTGGGGGCTGCACAGCTTTTGGAATTCTGCTGCAAGTAAATACATCCCTCATGCTGCTGCACCCAAGGAGGAGACCGGATCCTTCCCATCTATTTGGTTCCAGGATAATCACTTCCAGCTTTCCAACTCACCAGAGAAACCAAGATGATCGGTGTGTGCTGCATGGTTAAAAAGCAGGGGCTTTTTTAACCATATCCCAACCAGGCTTTCTTACCTTCCCAAAGACAAGGTCTTCCATCCCATCACCAGGCAAGGGGAAGAGGTCAGACTCACTCCCGGACTCTCTTTTAAGAGCACCCCGAGACGAGGCACAGACGCTGCTCAGCCCATCCTCCAAGAAGTTCTCACATTCTGCAGGAGCAAAGCACAAAGAGTCACAACCTGAGGCTTTCTGCAGCATCCACACATTTATTTTGGTGGTCATTAAAAGTATCTATAACTAGCATTTCTACCCCTGGATTCAGTACTGGTAAAACCATCAGACTCCATTCTCTCAGTGAATTCTAGGATTTAAAACACACAGCTTTACAAATAAAGCTTTAGACATTTGTTCACCTCTCAAAACTGCCTAGGAATTCTCAAATGATTTATTCCAGAGTTTAAAACTCCTTTTTAAGTGCATCATTGAAGTACATGGTGCAAACTGAAATTCTGCATGAAAAGCTGAAAACACTTGTAGCTTGAGGTGCTGATAAATATACTACATATGAGGTATCCCATAACAGTGCATGTGGGATGTTTCCTAGAGATTTAAACAAATATAACATTAGATTCATATTCAATAAATATAAAAATATCACTTGTCAATATTTGCTTTCTTTTTCAAAGAATCAATTCCCTCTAAATGCCAAAGTGTTTTTAATACATATTTTGGACAATTACTCAATTTCTTGTACACTCCTTACTGAAAAAGCACTAGTGTGAATTCCATGACAAGCTTTACTTTATCAAGATTAAAAAATTAAGTGATTTTTTAAAAAACCTCTCAGCTTTTGTAACTCCTGACATTGAAATATAAGCATGTTGCACCTCTTTTTTTCTCAAGTGCTTCCAGCTGTTTGCACTGGGTTAATCAGAAGTACAGAACTAGACTGCAGCCCCTGCAAAAGCCCTCTTTCCAAAACCTTTAACAGACAAGTATTTGCTTAAGAAATGCCTGTACATATTTTATTTGTTCACCCTTCAGGAAAAAGTATAAATTATAATTTTGGCAAAAATTGAACACAAATTTCCCAGTTCAAAATATTTTCTAATTATTAGTTTGTTCCTTTTTTTTAAGAAAGGTGCTATTTTGCACCTCCTCTAACTAAACAGATCCAAAATGTGCTCAGCTGTCTGGAGAGGAGCCAGGGCAATAAAATATTAGTTCAGTCTTAAATTATACCTCCCTAACTCCATCCTTGGTGACATCAAGCTTAAACATCACTGAAAGGACGACAGGTTTGGTAGCTTAAGGTCACTTCTTTGCCTTCCCCATCCTTAATCTGAGCCTGACAACAGCTATGGAACACTTTGGCCACATCCCACGTGATGGCAGTGACTCCACCTCTGGAGAAAACAGAATTACTTTGATAGTGGTGGGGCTGACCCCATTTGGGGCAGGGGGAGCTGAAGCCAGTCAGAAACCCCATTACCCCACAGAGGAATTTCCACACTGTGGAGAGTTGGAAAAGCACTTATTGGATGCTGCAGCTGCTCCTGTTCCCCTTTCAGTAAACCTGGAAAATGTGAACTGCTTTTCCATCACCGAGGGGGAGAAGGGAGGGGAGAGGAGAAGGGGGGAATGAAGGGAAAGAAGAGACGGAGCGGCTGTGGGGACGTGGGCCAGGTGCTGTTCATCCAGCTGGCAGCCAGCACCGCATGTCCACAGCCCAGACTGAAAAACAAAGGGGCTCCAGCCACGTTCCACTGGAAAATCAGTGGGGACAGCTCAGATGTGCATGGATACCTCTGCCTGAGGATGAAGCACGAGAGGCAGCAAAGCTCCCCAGGAGGAGATGATGAAGCAGAGAGGAAGAAGGATGAGGAGCAGGGTGATGGGGACCCCTCCACACTCCTCAGCTCATTTGTGCTGAGAAACTCATTCCCAAGCCCTCTCTTCCCTTTACTTTTGGTTGGAGGTGTGTGTATTTTCTCCATTTTCTCCCTCCCCTTTTCTCAGTTTGCTGGGTTTGTTTTCAATTGCAGACGCTGCACAAAGCCAGGCTCTGTGTCTCACATCCCTGGCAACACTTCTGTGCATAATACAAAGGCAAAAAAAAAATACAGAGAAAAAAGCTCTAGGAAGAACATTTCCAAGCAATATCTTCTGTACATTTTCCAAACTCTTCTGTCCTCCAAGCCAGGGCTGAGCCCTTCAATTCCATGCTGATAATTATGCATTTGCTACACTCCTCTGCACACCTAATTTCAAAAACATAGACAGAAAACGAGAAGCTCCAATTTCTGAAGTTACCTTCTAAGATCTGAGGTCTCTGACCTTTCAAGTAATTTCAGCAGATTAAAAAGGTCTAATTCCTTATCAAGTATTGTATTTTTAAGTTAGCCATATTGACAGCTTGTGGTTTATTGCTGTTAAGTGTTGCCAGATTTTTCTTGCCCTCTCTATGCTGACCAGCACCACAGAGCAGCAGGAGGATGCCTGTGCAGTAACAATATTATTTCTAGAAAGGCCAGAACCTGCATAACCTGAGATCCTTCTGCTGCTTTAGTCCATCTGGAGAGCACATTTACTTAAAAAACTATCTCTTTATGTCTGTGTTACAGATATGTATTACTATAATTATTAATACAAATTTGTATATACAGCTATCTAATTACATAGTTAATATTAAGTTTCTATAGTGTAATAGTGCATTAGATAATTAATAGGTGTGCAACTGATAGTGATCCATAGGAATATGTGATTATATATTTAGCAAGTCAAATGAGTCCATGTACTTTAGCAGATAAATGGTTTGCAGTAACTATTGCCTGAAGCACAAAAATACTGTACCAAGAGGCAAAGGATTCACAGATATAATTGGTAAAGAGACATAGCATTACCACAGGTTTTCTTGTAAAACACTCCTGAAACAGCTATTGCTGTTAATGATTTTTCTAAACAAGAGCAGTATTTTTGTATTTTTGTTTTTTATTAAAAAGTTCTTATTTAACTTTGAGTGAGCTAGAACTTCTATTTAGGATAAACCGCTCAGGTCACTAAGCCACACTATCCCTTCTTAGCCTACAGTCTGACAGACTGAGTTTAAACTTCACACTGACACTCAGTCATTTTCTTTCAAGTCTCAGATAAATTGAAGGAGATTTGGATGAGACCACTGCTCATAAGGACAGCAGGGCAAAAAGCCTCCTCTCCATGAGCAGCCTAAGCAAAGTCCCTATTCAGGGCCCTGATAAATTACTCTATTTGTTTCGAACACGCATAATCCAGTGAAAGGAAATGCTTTTTTTCTTATCTTGGACACCAAGCCTTCTTTGAAGCTTGCCCAGACTAGATTTTGTGTCCCAGTGGAAGAGCCAGAAAGCACCAGCCAGCACGCAGGGCTGGGATGGGAGCTTGGCACAGCTGGTGGGCAGGGTGTGGGAACCATGGCTCTGAACAGCCTTCCTGCTTCCTGAGCCTGGAATCATGGCAACTTTCAGAGGGAGGGGGAAAAAAAGTAAAATCTCAAGCCACTCATTTGGGTTTAAATATGGATTTAGGAGCTCAAATTTCTGGCTTTTTTCTTTTACAAAATTATCCTTTCAGCTAGAAACCATGTCTGTGCACTGCTTGCAACATCTTTCAAGTTCATTTAGAAAAAAGAAAAGGGGAGGAAAAATCAAAATACTGAAGCACTTGAAATGCAGAGTTATTTGAGATGGTGACACACTACACAGCTCCCTGCTAGTCAAGTGCTGCAGCCATGTGCTAACAATGACTCACAGCACAGTCATTACACAGTTTATTTAATTTATGTGTTTTCCCCATCCAGGCCAGGATGTCAAAAACAGGGAGAAAAGGGGGAATAGAAAAGGTGAGGAGGAGGACAGGGAGAAAGGAGGGATAAAAAAAGTGAGGAGGACAAGGTGCAAAGGAGAATAGAAAAGGTGAGGAGGATGGGGAGAAAAGGAGGATAGAAAAGGTGAGGAGGAGGGCCATCATGGCCAGGATGTCAAAAGCAGGAAGGAAGGGAGGATGGAAAAAGTGGGGAGGACAGGGAGGAAAGGAGGATAGAAAAGGTGAGGAGGAGGACAGGGAGAAAAGGAGGATAGAAAAGGTGAGGAGGAGGACAGGGAGAAAAGGAGGGATAGAAAAGGTGGGGAACAGGGCTGCTGGTGGGGCTCACCTGGAGACTCCTGCGTGCGCTTGCGCTCCAGCAGGGAGGGGTCAGGACATGGCTCCAGCGGACACCAGCTCCCACGGTTTATCTGCAAAACACATCACAGCACATCAGAGAAAGGCCACTCTCACCAGCACCCCTGTTAGTTTCTTCTCCAATATCCCTCTGCATCAACCAGCAGATTCAGAGTTATGGCTTAATTTTTTCCCAATAATAAAAGTGTCAAAAGTAACATACGATTTTATTTCGGCATTGCTAAACAAACCATTAGAATATGCCAAAACCCTTTATTTCTCCATGGAAAGTTTGATTTGAAGGTGGCTCCTGCTCAAGGAAGGAGATCAGAGGGAGGATGAGTCAGTGTTTAAGCTACTAGTAGAGGACTGGATAACCTTGGCCTCAAGTCCCACCTCCACTTGTAGCGGGACTGCAGGGATATACTCTTCTGATTTAAGCCTCAGTTCACTACCAACAGAATAGAAATTCCTTACCACCCATACTGCTGTACAGATAATTAGCTCAGAGATAGCACAGTGCTCTGGTGATGTGGAATAGAGGGCTTGGGAAGTGCCCAAGTCATGGTGAGAACCAGAAGCACTTTGGGCCTGCATTAACTGAAATGACAACGATAGAAATGCCCATTTTAACACTAAGACACATCACATGGTTTATTTCAACATCAGCCCTTATCACCTCACCCCGTCCTTCACCTTTTCCATGACTCCCAGTCTTTCAGCAAGGATGACTGATCTGTTCTCAGCCTCCTCCTCCCTCTGCCTGTGCTTTCATCTTCCTCACTCGGGTTGTGCTGTCCAACATTTTGACTCAGAAGTCTGCTGGACTATCCACAATCCTTGGCTCATCCAACATTCACTTCCCATCACTTTTGTCTGCAGCTGGCACACCCTGCAAGCCCCTTTACTCTCTCTGCCATTTCTTTGAGCCAAATGCCTTTCCTTACTGTCAACTGCATGCAAATCTCACCTGTCCCAAACCACAAAACCCAGAAGTTACTTCCCCTCCTGACCTGTCTCAACACACAGGATCTCACATGTTAAGTTGCAGCTAAAAGAAAGCTACTGAAATGGATGACTTAGCCTGATTTTTTATGTCAAGTACTTCTCCTACCTTCTCTCTGGCTTTCCTTTTATCTCCTGAAATAATTTCCTTTCCTACCTTTCAAATAGCAAAGTTTTACTATTTACTTTTAGCCTCTGACCTACGTTCAACTCTCCTCCATGATCCTGCTTTATTTTTGCAGCCCCTTGCTGAATTCCCATCCCCTCAACGTTCTCCTTCCTCCTATGCTATGAAACGTACTGCTTTTGCCATCTTATTATTTATTTTCTAAAATAAATTAAAACCAAGCCTCTCCTACCCTTGACCTGACGTGCTGCTTTGACTAATGACCCACGTCCTTGTTTCCTCTCTCACTGAGATCATGGAATGTGTTGCTGCAGCCCTTGGCTGGCTCCTCCCTGCTCTGGCTGCGTCCCCTGCCTGTCACCCGAGGGGCTCCTGCCAGCACCTCCTGCTCTCCACACCACACAGGCAACCCTGCACTCCCCCAGACCTGGCAGCTCCTTGCTACAGCACATTTTTCTTCCTCAGGTTTTGTCCTCCTCCATACTTGTGTGATGACAAAATGGGGTTGGGAGGGCCTGTGACAGGTCAGCTAGTCCCTGCCTGCTGCTGCGCCAAGTTAGGCTCAATTACCATCTCAGAGGTCCTAATCCAACTCTGTGCCCTTAAAATCCTCCAGTGGAGAGGATGCCATGACCTTCCCCAGTCAGCAGCTCCTGCTGACAGAGACAGGGAAGGAACAGAGTTGTTCTGAGAGGGGGAAAAAAGAGCAGGAGTTTCCCAGGAGAGGTGAAGATGTTGAGCTCTACCACAGTCAGGTCTTGGGGTGACCTCAGTGCATGTCCCACCTGGATGTCCCTCTCACCTCCATGGAATTTTGCAGGCTATTTTTCCCAGGGATGATGTACACTTTACAGCTCTTACTCCCTGACTGTATTATACAGATATTCACTCAAGACCCCATCACACCCCTTTATGTTCACACATCTAAGATCCCAGTGTTCCCCGCACCTCTGCTCCACTGTGTATCCATTTTCTCCCTTTTACATACAATGCATCCATATTAAATGAGAGGCAGTTAGGAAAAGAGAAGCAATCTTCAATCTGAAAAAGGATTTGTAAGCAAAACTTCAGAAAAATGTGTTTTTTGCTTTCCAAAGTAAGACAAGGATGTTGCATTTTAACTGTTGCATGGACAGTGGGTCATGTTCTGATTCTTTCAACAGAAGACACTCCCTGTTCTCAGAGAGGCTGTGTGGCATCTAATCTTAGCATCTAAACTTAACCACAGAATTTATTTTTTTTTTTAGTCTTAAAAGAGCTGCAAAGTCAATAAATACCACTTGATGACTGTAAAGTCAATAAATACCATGCTGTTATTCTTTTCTCTCCAGACAAAGCAGAATAAATTTGCACCACACTTTCTTATATTTTATTAAAGGCAAATATAGAGGTTGAGGTTGAACACACATAGAAGGACAAATGCAAATGTGCTCAAGCCCACACAAAAAAAGGAATGACCCGTTTCAGATACAAAATCAAATTCTGTCTCCTTCTGACTGACTTGAACCTCCTTCCTTCCTCCTTAAGAAGAGTCTGACCCTTCTTAATTTTAAACAAATCACCATCAAAATCAAAGGAACTGCTCCTGATTTATACTGGTATCCACAACTGGAAAGGAATAATTAAACATCCCATTCAATAATTAGCAGTAAGAAAGCAAAATAGGAAGAGGTTCAAGTTGTCTGTTGAATAAGCCATATTAGGCTGAATTAACATTATATATTTTCCTTTAATAGAACCAATTGAGTCATTCACTGAAAATGCATTATAGACATTGGCATTTTTTCAAAAAAGATTTGAGCATTTTTCCAATTTCCCAGCCAGTTCTCTCCTCAGCCCTGTGGCTTTGCCAAGTATTGAAAACGTCTGCTTTTCTCTATTAAAAGAAGTAATGAGAGAGTAACACTGAGGTTTAAGATGCTGCTTCAGATATACTTGATTATGTACCAAATAAAACATTAGAAATTAAATATTTATCTCAGTAGCCCTAATTCAGGAAAAATAATAATCACCATCAAAACAAAAACAAAGGAAACCACTACTATATACAAGTATTCCCTGGGCCAAAAACGAGCCCAGACAGGCTTTGAGGGAGGTTTACTGCGTGCTCTCAGGGAACTGGGTGGTCCATAGATCCTCAAAACACAAACCCACTATCCAAAGCCCAACACTGAGTACTGGGATCCCTCCTCAACACCTGAATTCTGCTTGCATTTACTCAGGACTACTGACTACAGGTACAGACACTGAGAGCTGGAGAGGAAATTGTCTTTATAAAAGCACCTGAGCATCAGGAGCTGGGGAATGTACCAGTATGGAGAAATGTGAAATGAGGCTGTCTTGGGATTGTGCAGACACGTGTGCATTGCATGTGAGAAAATTCCTCCCTTTTCCCCCCCATTTTCTAGTTTTGCTGAGAGAAGCCCAAGGACAGGACCACAGGCTGGTGGCCACAGAAGATGATAAAAGCCCCACACTTGCTTGCTTGCCCACACTGATTATAGCTCATCGATTCCAGGCATCCCAAGTCTTTGCAGCGGGAGCAGAGGGTGCAGTGCTGTTCCAGTGGCAGAGGGAATATGAAACAACCTCTGGGAACAGAGTTTCAATACACAGCCCTTGAAGAAATGCCAGGAGAAAACCAGCTATTTTTCCATACAGAAGCCTGAATGTGTTTATCTGCAGCTCAGACACAGAATGAATCGTGGAAGCACATCCCCAGGCACCAAAAACTGAATCCTGCAGGATTTTCTGTTTGCTGGTGAAACTCCAGCAGGCTAAATGTTCAAAGATGCCTTTAGGACACCAGCTGGAGCTGCGAGCAGCAGATAGTTCCATTGCTCCTTCTGGGCACACACAGGTATTTCCTGACTCTTCCTGCAGACCCTGAACTTGAAACTTGATGTGATTTAATGCATAAGAAAAGGACAGCACTGGACACTGTGAGACACCCTGGGCTGAGGCATCCTCTGTCCCACAGGAACTGTAAGTGGCACCAAACTCCACTCTCAGGCTCTTCCTTCCTCTCCCCTTGGACAAGGAATTATCTAATCCATGCAGTGTGGTGCCTGCCCATAAAACCAGGCTCAGGACCTCCTTCTCAAAGACACTCCAACAATATCCAGGGCAGAGCTGGGTGCTGGAGGTCAGGCATCACAAGGGCCAGGGACTACCTGGCTCCTATCTCCAGCATGGAAAAGTCCTTTCTCTCTCCCTCTGGTTTTACTTTAACTCTTCTTGCCTTCCATTTCACAATAAAGAGAACACACTGACCTTCCAGGAAATCTTTTGCTATTGCAAAAGTTTGCACTTGTCAACCTCACTGGTCGTGATATAAATCAACATCTCCAGAGCACAAGAAACCAGATGACTTTAACTTTCATTTCCTAGCAGATCCCTGGAGATTCATCTTCTCTCCACATTATTTTAACTCTGTCCTAAATGTGCAAGTTTCCATTTTTCTCCTTTTATTTTCCCCAGCTTCCAGACTATGATCTACCTCGCAGCTAAAACCAGATACTACTGCACATAGGAAAATATTTAGGAGAGTAATTGTAGCTTGCTTAGTGTATCATTAAATAATTGTGCACCACACTGAGTAATATCCATTTTAAATATCTATTGCAGAATAGAAGTAGTAGAAAAAAGCAATACTTCAAATTCAATTATAATTAATTTGTTTCATAAGCAGAAATTATACAATGCTTTTTTAAAAGTTCTATGCATATCGTAATTATTTTCTAGGAATTTCCTGTTTCTGAAAATTTCATATAGGATTAAAGAAATTTGTACACATAACTGGAGTTCAATGTTTATACTGAGCAACTTTTAACTTTACAGTTCCATTTACAATGAAATTATCCAGTTGCCTGCAATTCCTGCACTAGAAACTAAAGCAAGAGTTGATTTACCCCCTTCACAAGAACCACCTTTCAAGATCCT